ATAGAGAAATTAACATTATTTAATAATCTGGAAAGGATAATTATCTGATCACAAACATCTAATTCGCATTTTTTTTTATCATGTGTCAATAGACAAAAAGCTTTATTCACTCACAAGATTTTTCCGGCACGTGACCATTGCCAATTAGATTGAAGGATCAGCTTTCTGCGTTCTAATAAAAAAATTCCTCGTGAAAATTTTTGACCTTTCTTGTTTTTGATTTTACGTTACACCTGATCTTTCGATCTAATTGGCCAAAAATCACGTGCCGGAAAAAATTGTGGATGAGCTACTAATGTAAAAATCTAGAATTCACAAGATTAGAACAACCAATCGGACACACCATTTACGTTGTACGTTGTACAAACTCCGCTCCTGGTATAGAAAATTTCACGATATACGTAATTCACCAGTAGGCAATTCATTAATAAAACAGATAATTATTTATTAAGTACAGAACAATTACTGTATTAGTCCAACCGTACATAACGACAATAACCGCTGAATTGTACACTATTGTTATTGTCATGTCGTTATAACAGGGATCGATATACACGTATGCTAAATATAGCGAATATCTACTAGAATTTGCAGACCAGTTCAAACTACTTGATACTGTATATGAAAATTTTCTACTTAACAGAGTAAACCGGCACAGCCACAAGCCCGATTTATCCAAAACAAGGGAAAATAAATGAGATCAATAAGCCGGAAATTTTACACTAATATGAATAGATTTTGAAGAAAATTTATACCATATAACGATACGGTCAGAACAGCGAACAAAAACGGGTAAAATCAAGAATAATTTAATAAATGTATGACGAGGTTAAAAGCCGAGATAATGAATAGAGAAATTAATATTATTCAATAAGCTAGAAAGGATAATTATCTGATCACAAATATCTAATTCGCATTTTTTTTTTTCTCATGTGTCAATAGACAAAAGCTTATAGCGATAGGTAAAAATCTAGAAATCACAAGACGAAGTCACAAGATTATAATAACCAATCTGATAAAAAAGAGACACACCATTTCAGATGCCTATAAACCATACACGTTGTACAAACTCCGTTCCTGGTACACCTGGTACATAACAAGAATAATCTAGCACGGTAAATTTAGGTAACGATCATCATTACACACAAAGTCACGAAGTCACAAGGCAGGAACATCCAATCAGATGCCCGGAATTGCGAACTTCACTTAACTTGCCATAAAACCATACACTCCGTATTTCATACTCCGTTCCTGGTACCTACACACGAACCAAGCATCACCCAAAAATCAGTTCCGGGTTAAAACTCAAAATTGTAATTCCGAAATTAAATTTTGTATACAACAATTTCGTAATGATAGTTTATAATACTCTTAATGAGTCATATGAATAAAACTAAAAAAAAAAAAAATAATAATAGCAAAATTCAGTAATTATTATCATTATGGATACTTTATTTTGCAACTCGTGTAAAACTTTTAAAATATTAGAGGTTTTTCATGGAAATAAAACTTGTTCTGAATGTTTAGAACATAAAAACAGAAAACGTGAAGAAAAAGCTGCTATTATTTTATCTAATGCAAAAGAAAATGCGATAGATCTAGAAAACATTACATCTACAATTTATGAAGCTCTTGTTAATATGGATAACATCAATGAAAATTTAGAAAATAATTGTGGGTTTTATTTTGAATCAACCATTAATTTAAATATTTTAATTGAGAACACTTCATTAGAAATTGAGCAAGATCAGTATGAACATTATTTTGCAAACAGAGTCGTCAAACTTGTTGAACAGGAAGATGGTTATGATTATGTATATCATACAAAAACTGTTTCACAAAAAACAAAAATAAAAACATTTTATTACTGGTGTAATTGTCATGAGAACCTGGCTTCAAAACACAAAAAACATAGCAATGTTTCAAAGCAATGAAATACTGGTATATATTTGACTCGATATAAATGTGAAGGGTTTTTTTCAATTTCAGTTGATATAACAAATAAACTTGCAAGCATCAAGCTTAGTCACAATCAGCTTCATCAAAGACCACGATATGTTGGTGTATCCAACCAAGTTAAACAGTATATCTGTGAACACTTAATACTTAAATTATCAGAGCTTTATCAGGAAATTATATCTAAGAAACTTGAAGGGTTTGAGAACTTAACAATAGATCAAATATATTTTTGGTGGGCTCGTGAAGCATCAGTATTTTATCGACAGCATAATGATCAATATCAATCTGCTAAGTTATTTTTAAATGAGAAAGATTATAAGGTTATGCTTGATTTGAATGAGCCAATACATGTATTCAGTTTTATAATCAGTTTTTTTAATAAATTATCATGTGAAACAATTATGGTAGATGCTACATATAATACAAACCAGTTAAAGTTTGAACTTTATGTATTGATGACAATAGTGAATAGAACAGGATTTCCACTTTTGTATTATTTTATTGAGACCAAAAAAGGGCGAGATTTATGTGCAGCTATAACTGCATAATTTAAATTTTTAAGAGACAACAGACTTAAAGAAGTAAAGATAATCCTTTTTGATAAGGATTTTGTACAAATTAGTAGTGGGTTAGCTGTTTGGAGAGATGCAGAAATCCAGTTATATAAATGGCATGTGCGACGGGCAATTGAGCAGAAATTTTCTTACCAATATAATGGCAGTTCATCACATTATAATTCTACTATTGCACACCAACAGTGCCTAGTAATCGATCCATTATGGCAACCAGCACAAATTTTAGGCTCTAAAAAAAAGGTTTTTTTAGAAGCAACCTTATGAAAAGATATATTGGAATATATTGATACACATTTTCATCATCATATGTTAATTCCTATAGCAGATAAAGAATTTGTTACAACATCAAAAGAAATTTGGATGTGTGTCACCAATGAAATATTTTAATATTGTTATAATCATGATTTATTTCATATATGGTGCTATTTATGGATGGAATGGTACTGCTGTGATCGCTGGTGCCTTTGGGCACTATCAGCATATAAAAATTTATCAATAATTTGTACTATGATGGTTATTGAGTCTCATTAGAGAATTCTTAAGAGGGATTTTTTATATAAATTTAATAGTCCACGACTTGATATTCTTTGTCATGTTATAATCAATCAGATATTGCCAAAATTATTACACTGTTTTAATCTACTAGTTAATAAAAGAATTCAACCTTCTTGGCGAAAGGATTTTAAGGCTGAATGGAAAAAGCTTGCAGATTGGCAAGTAAAAAATTTAGACAAGTATCTTACTATTCAAGAATATTGAGTTTGTTCATGTCTGATGTTTCTCAAAAATCGGTTTATGATTTGTAAACATTTGGTTACAATATTAGAAAATATGGAAAATTCATTTTTTTATAAAGTTCAACAAAATAATCAGTATCCATTTATTTACGAAGCTCAACAAACTGTTTAGGAAATTATCAAAAATAATTTACCTTATGAATTGATCAACTATGCAATCGAAGACCCTGTAATTGATTATGAAGAAGTTGAAGATCATGTAAATTTAGATTCAAACACTAGCGATGAAGAGGCTATGAATACCAAAACAACTGAGTCAAAGGCAACCCTAGAAAAGGTTGTATAAATTTATTTATAGACATAATCACTCATACTTTATATAATTTATTAATATATTTTTGTTACACTAAACTTTTTTTAGGCAATAAATTTTATTGAAAGATCATCAAATCTTCCACAGCAAAAAAAATGGCTAAGTGCAGTTGAGAGAAACTTTGTTCCAATTAAAAGAATGGTAGAGGACTTAGAAGGATTTGAAAATGCAAAGACATTAAGAAAGACATGGAATGGATGTAGCTTAAACACCTTTTACTGGCAATAAATTTATTTTTAATATATGTTAAGAACTTACAGTGCTTATAAACTGGTTAGTTATTGATTATAAAATAACTTACATTTATCTTTCATCTTTTAACTAAATAAATTTAATCTTTTAAGAAATTCAGCATTTAATATGAAAAATCTTTAGAGAATACATAGAAAAAGAATTATACAAAAAAGATAATCAAAAATTAACTGTTTATAATAAATGCAAAGTTGTAGTATCTAATCGATTTTTTTTTTCGATTAATAATTCATATTTGTTTAGGGTAAAAATAATTTTTTTTTTAATTAGCAAATGTTAAATATATAATTATTTTTGCATTTGTATATAACAATAAATTATATAATTAAACAAACATGCGAGTTATACATAGTACAAAAAATAATAATAGATTTAATATAATATTAACATTCTTCTATTTTGTATATATATAAAATTATCGGTACATTGTCTATCAGAATACTGATGTTTAATTTTAAATATCTGGACCAGGAACTGATTTTTGAGTGATGCTAGGGTGGTTGTACCTACATATCTTTTTATCATTGATACATCTATAAACTCATAATTACCAAATTCCTCAAAGTAATATAAATCATATAATCCTTTTTGTACATTTTTTGCATTGTGAATATATACAAGCAATTGATATTTTCTACAAAATAAAATTGCACTTGTTCAAAAAATTGTTGTAGTTCATATTTCTTTAGATTTTTTGACTTGCCAACATTAATTTCAAGTTCATACTTAAAAGAATAAATTTTAGATATGTAAATTGTAAAGTTAAATAGATTGTTAAGCAATTTGATTATTATATAGTTTATTATCTTATTATAATAAATACTACACTTTGTAAAATAAAATACCCCTTAGTATTTTTTGTAGCAATCTTAAATAGTAGTTTAATTTCAATAACTTTTTAGTATAGTATAGTCAATTCTTCCTAAATACAAACTCTTCTAAGTACAAATTCCCATTATAAGTACAAGTTATTTTTATTAGCCAATAAAATTTAATTATATTAAATTGCATTAACTCTTAGGATAATTTCTAAATATAATATTTTTTAAGTGTAGTAATTCTGAATGTTTTGAACTTAGAGAGAATTGAATATTTTATAATATCTTTGAAGAGTTTTTATTTTACAAAATATAGTATTTAAAAAGAAAAAAAGTATAGTCAGACCTCTTTATAGTCATATTTTATATAATCACATCTCTATATAAGCACCTGATTTTGTTAAACAAATTAGCATAAAAATATATATAAAACCTTTATACAAGCACAACCTCTTTATAAGTACATTTCTAAAAAAAGTTACTATTATTTTAACTACTTAATTATAGAAAGGGTTGACTGTACTTTAATAAATATATTATTATTTATTTATTTAATTTGACTTTTTTATTTGATACACATTGGGCTTTTAATTATATAGTCAAAATATTATATAGTATTGCTTTATTATATATAATAATTAATTAATTAATTTAAAGCCCAATATATTTTTTTTTTTTGTGTTATAAGCGGCAATCTTGCTTGTCTGTCTTTTATTAAGTAATATCTAGTTATTAATGAATACATAGTTTATTAACGAAAGTATAACTAGCCATGCATATAACTTTAGTCATTATCTAATTAAGGGTTCTACCCAAGGGTTACCCACTAGCTACCATACCTGAGATCCACCTGTGAATCCCCTATTTAAACTTTCTGATTTTCAATCCTATGCATTACAACCTTCTATTATTATATGGACATACCAGGTTAGGGCTATCTAATTACTATTTATATCAAGGTACTACCTCATTGGATGTTACCGAGTATCCATAGTCCTTCAAATTTACCCTCGACACAGACTTACTAAGTATGGTACCAAGATTACCCTCTTAGATTTTTATCCGTGTTAGTGTATCCCATATCCACTAAACTGGTTTTGGTGCCAGAGGTGTTCGAGTTTCAGTAAGTCCATTCCTTTCCCATAGTTTTCTTTTATGTTCACTGTATTATTTGCTAGTGCGCCTTTTCTCCATTTCTAGTATGTTCACCGCTTCTCTCACATTAAGCGCCAACTCTCCATATCGGGAAACTTCTTTCCAGGAACTTCCTTATATACCGATCTTCTATTCACATGGACTTAAGCCACAGGGCTTTGCATACATTCATATGGTTCCATAGATTACAGAGTTTTGCCTCCAGCTGGAATTGAACTGTCAACCTTGTCTGTGAAGGAAGGGGTGCCTAGACCACTAGGCTATGGGACCCCATCCCTTAGCCCAATATATTATTAATTAAAAGAGCTAAATCAGATAAATAACTAATAATATAGTTAAGAAAACTATAATACTTTTTTTATTTATATTAAAGAAGAACTTACCAAATATATACATTTTTATGTGCAGTAGTTCTAACTGTTACATTAAAAAATCAACTATATAACCTTCTTTAGTATGTAATTTTGCATATTTTAGTTCACAATTATATTTTAATATAGTATATATAATAAATTAATGGATATCTGTTTGGCTAGTATAATAAATTTAGTACATTGCAAAAAAATGTTTTTGAAATAACTATTAATTTAATTTTAATCAAAATTTGTTAAAATATATATTAAGTATAACTTTATATAAATGTAAAATTTTAATCATATTTACAAATAAAAATTTTATAAAATATAATTACAAATTGCTACCTTCAAACAAAAAAATTGCTGTACTAAATTTAGTACAACAAAAAAAAAAATTTTAAAAGTGATATAAAAAAATATTATAAAAAAAACAATATATATTGCCCAAAACTAATCCTTCATTTTGATATATTTAGGTTATTAAAATATGATCACTAAAGCATTTAATGCATACTCCCTTTGAATCATTATACATACAGTAATACCTTGTTCTTGTACCACAATTTATACAACGAAGCTGCAGATAAATTGTAATATTTTTGTTTGTTTTCTTTTTTGGAAGAGAAAATAATTTATGTTATGACCTAGTTTGTGCTTTTGAACATGTATTTGGTAATGAATTTTTTAAACTAAAATAATCTTTATCAAGAATTTCAAAAGTCAATTGTTATCAAAATCAAAATGTGAAGTATCTTGTGCTCTTTTTTGCCATTTTTGAATGATAAAAATGCATTGGCTTCAGCAATTTTAAGTAAAAAAGCAAGCACATATATTTCCCAATTTGATTCATGCATTACATTATAGAAACAAGTCATATTGTCATAAATCTAAAAATTAAAATAAGTTATAATAATTTTAAGTACTATCAACGCTCTTCTTACTTTAACCAAAAATTAACAAATACGATTAAAGGAAATAATATCTATAATATTAAATTACCCGATATTTCTGTTAAAATATTTAATATTATTATTAAGTAAGTTATTTGAATTTGTAATCATTGTATAAAAGCTTAATTATAAGTAAATAGAATTAATAGTTTCACATTTTATATATATTGTAGATATATTTATGGTGGTGTAATGTCTTTAGAAAATCTTGACGCTTCTGGTATATTTGATCTCTTGTTGCTTTCAATGAATTTGACTTTTCAGAATCTGTTGATTGTCTTCAAACTCGCCTTATTGAAGATAATGCTTCGTGGCTTCGATTGAATTTTTCTCGTGTTTACCAGATTAGTTTTCAAAGTTAAAATTTTAAAGCTTTGCAACAATTTTGTAACGATATTATTATAAAACACCCAAATTTGGTTTTTGATTCTGATGATTTTACCACAATTCAAGAAAGTGCTTTGATTTCTCTCTTAAAACATGACGACTTACAATTGGATGAATCTGTAATTTGGGATAAAGTTATTTTGTGGGGAAAAGCGCATACTCCAAATTTACCTTCCAATTATGAGCAATGGAATAAGGACAATTTTGAATCTTTAAAAATTACTCTTCAAAATTGTTTACCTCATATTAGGTATTTTCAAATTTCTGGTAATGAAGTCTTAGAAAAAATACGGCCTAAAAAAATTCTTGATGAAAATTTGTGGGATGATATTACGGCAAAATTTATGTCTCCAAATAAGCCTGTTAATTCTACAATTTTACCACCTCGCAAAAAATTGACAACTCAACTTCCTCCTCGAAAATCAATATCAATACCTTCATCCATAATCAATTTAGAGCATGCAGCAGAAATTTCTTCTTGGATTGATCGATGTTCTACAACTTATGATGCAATAGAAACTCCATATGAATTCAACCTGTTACTTAGAGCTAGCAGAGATGGGTTCGGTGTCAACAAATTTCATGAATTGTGTGACAACATATCTAGCTTAATAGTTGTTATAAAGGTCTCAAATTCAAATGAAATACTTGGTGGATATAATCCTATTGGTTGGAAAGCTGAAAATGCAGGATTTATATCGACATCTGACAGTTTTATTTTTTCTTTAAAAAATAAGAATATGAAAGAATCTATTCTTAGTCGCGGAAATGATCAATCATATACAATTTATTATGGTCCAGATTATGGTCCATGGTTTTATAATTTTGGGCTTAATGCTTACTGTGATCTTAAAACATGTTATTACCTTAGTATTGGCAATCCTTATCAACCGCCAATCAGAAACATTGCGAATGATAAATTTTCAATAGATGATTATGAAGTGTTTCAAATATGTAAAAATGTATAAATTCCATTATAAATAAAATTGTTTTATAATTCATAGATAAAAACGTATTATGACTAGGTTACTTGGAGCAATTAAAAATAAGAGGTC